AAAGCACAGGTATAATAAAAAATTTAATTTTGTAGTTCACCGTAAGTAAAAAAAATGTTTTAAAATTATTTATTGTTAATTTGATGAATTCTGTTTCAAATGTCCTGATATGACCATGCATAGTAATGTCAGCATCCACGACAAATATTTTCTTGTTTTTATATGTATATAGATAAACGTTTGAATAAAATAAAGAAAATAGTATAGTAGACCTTACTAAAAAAGTCGACTTTATTAGAAGGAAGAACTTTGCTGTAAAACTTTCCTTGATCGTTTTTGTTTAATGTCAAAATAATATACAATAAGTGCTTGTGCACACGTGCTCGAAGGCCAGGGAGACCGTAAAATGAGACTTTTTCTCCGTGCTTTTAGATTGTGCTCGATGCTATTTTTGTTTAACATTGCAAATGAATTTTTAATGTCAAAACAATATGCATGTATAAGTTTTAGAATCAGAATTAGACACTGACATTCCATGTAAATTATAGATATAGATAGATTATTCTTTTTAGTGTAAAGATAATATGTACGAAACATAATTATATTGAAAAAATTAACTGCCAACGCAAAAGAGGGGGTTGCTGAAACGTAGCTCTAAAACGGGTTAACCAATTTAAATGCGGGGTTTTATTGGAAGCTTATGTAAATGCAATATCACTTTGTACAGTAATCTACCTACTAAATTAGGGTGGGTATATACAATATACGCGCAATACGCGAGAATACCTACCTTTGCACTTTACTAAGAACTAAGAAGCATTTCTTTTATTTTATTAGCCTAATGACATTTTATGACACGACTATAGACTCAGCAATTCCATTAATAATAATCTTTTGGACATAATCTATGCAAGTCGTAGAGATAGATAATCCTTAAGTTCAAAAACGGTCAAAGTATCTTTATTTTATACATCAACACATATTATATTTAATAACCTTCTCAAGTAGCCTGTTGTTATTGTAAAAAAGTTACGTAAAAAGCTTTTCATCCAATTTAAGTCTAAGGGATAAAGCTCTTAACCTGCTACATTGTAAAAAGTACGAGTATTTCTACCGATATCTATGTAACATAATATGTACATGCCTATATTTTTATTGCTTACGCACTTAAATGCGTACACAACTCTTACGTATAAAGTTATTAAAATTGCATTGGAATGAGCCAAGTGCAAACATTTTACACGTGCATCTGAAGGTTTGGAAGCTTTGCACTCGATGGATACCGCATGACTTAACGGAGGACCAGAAACGACTGCATGTTCAGAGGTCCTGTAAAATGATAAAAACGTTAAACTGAGGACAGTCATTGGCTCTCTATAATATCGTAACAGGTGACGAAACCTGAGTGCACTGCTTTGAACCTGAAAGAAAAAGGCAGTCGGCAGAGTGGGTCTTTCCTTTTGAAGATTTGTTTCTTTTGAAAAGTCGAAGCATTGATAAAAAAAATGGTTGCTTCTTTTTTCGGCAACTCAGGACATTACACTACAGTATCGCTTGAAGATTAAAGGTCAGTGACTGCAAATTGGTACGTAAACAGTTGAGCCCTTGTCTTAGAAAAAGTTCGCGAAAAGCGTCCTCGAAGCAATGTCCTCCTTCACTACGATAACGCATCCTCACATTCCGCTAAGGTTACAGAATCCTATTTGAAAGGTTCAAATGTGGAACTGATGACGCATCCGCCTTACAGACCGTACCGTACCCTGCAACTTCTTTTTGTTTCAAAAATAAAAGAAAAACTTGGAGCCACACGTTTTACGAGCCCTGAATCGGCGGTGAATGCGTTCCATGAAGCCATTGAAAAGGTCCCTAAGGAAGACTAGTCCAACTGCTTTATACAGTGGTTTCAGCGAATGCAAAAATGCATTAATTGCGAGGGTATATACTTTGAAAAACAATAAATGAATCGTAAGTCTTATATCTAGTCTTATTTATCAGAATCCAGAAACTTTCAGTATAGCCTAAGTACTAAGGCTGTTTTGGTGTCACTAACAGTACTGATGCATATTCTTTTTATTTCATTTCCCTACTTATGGGTTGTTAAGGAAGACAGAGCTTCCTTAATTATGGATAGGGCAAAGAAGTATAAAATACAGAACATTTATGTCTATGAAATGCTAAATTATAGATTGACTTTTGCCGTGATTTTCTGTGTGTGAATTAAATAAAGTAAAATGGTTTATCGATATTTAATTTAAAACCGATACTAAGTATCAAGTACTGACCAGTACCAGGAAGTAACATTAACAGATATCAACCAAAAACTATTTTGTTTAATCTACTATAAATTATAAAAAACATAATTTAATAATAAAAATAGAATAATATTCTACTACAGTCCCACAACGCCATCTAGTCCTAAACTTAGCAGAGCTTGTACTATGGGTACTAGACAACGAATATTTCTACACTTTTTTTTACACTACAAATTGTAAGTACATCGAAACACCTAGACCAAATCAAACACTAAATGTTCATGCACATGTTTGATTTGAGCAAGAATCGAACCCACGACCTTCGACGTTGCAGTCCGTTATATAAACCACTACGCCATCCGGCCGTCAAATTTTACTAAACTTTTCTGAAAGAAGATTTTCAATCGGCGTAAACTATGTTAGACGTAATATCTTATTAACATTTCTATGTCAGTAGGCGATACAGATGGGCAATAACGTTTGAACACCACTATACATTATGTATATCTGTACACGCAAACATATATGTGTGTGTGTAAGTAAGTGTAATGGCATATTACAACGGTGTACAGAGTACGAACACGTCATCCTCATTAGCGTTACGGTGCATCGAGACCACGGTCAGCGTGTCAGCATCGCTCAATAGACCATTGTACTACAATTTTTTTTTTAAAGACAACTCACGCTTTAGGAATATATCCGGTGTAGCAGGGGACTTTACAAACATACATGAAACGGACACAAAGAACACCCAGACTCAGAACAACAATTTGTGGATCACACAAAGTGTCGTCCCATTTAAGGTTTGAAACCACAACACTCGGTGCAACCGCTTAAACCACAAATGAAGATATTTTGATTCTTGAAGAAGGACATAGACTACTTTTTATCGCGATAACTGACATACACGCGAGTGAAGCCCCGGGCAGAAGCTAGTTGTCTACTAATAACAATACCTACTACTTAATAAAACAAAATGTAAATGTGCTTGTTTTTATTTGTTATCTACACATGTCAATAGTATTTTTAACATCGCCTAAATATTTTTCTTTCTTTGAAGGAAAACAAGTCTAACTAAACAAATACTAAGCAATATTTTTTAACAAAAAAGGTTTCGAATTTCATTTATGTGTTACACCTACTTCCTTTCAGCTATAAATCTGATGGTTGCTATAATAGTGGGCGAGACTCTAACACACGCTTCCAATATTTTTTTTTCTCACAGGAAAATCTAATAACAATTTGCTTGATCAGACGAAAACGCGCCGTCACTGTAAACCAGTAACTAGGTATTCAATCTTTGGATCAACAAAAGCTTACAGTTTCCAATAAGCATCATTAGTTACATAAAAGAATCCTTTACCTTTCAACTTATTAGATAACTCGTTAGGAAGACTAGCAACATTACTAATATATTAAAACTACTGCAAAGTTAATTTAGATAAGCCCTAAAGTATTTTCTCTCAACTTGTTAGAAACTTTAAACTTGATTTAAACATATGTACTACATATGGACACTTGAAACTACTTTACGCTTAAATCTACATACATAATACACATTTAATTGTTCACTTAAATTAAACTTAAATCTTTCTCAGTTCTCACATACAACCAGTCTAGTCTAAACTTGCGGTAACCCTTTAAATCAGTGTATTGTCTATATTCTAGAAGTACCATAAGTAAACATCTCTATAAACGTAATACCTACAGTTTCGTTTTCATACAAACCGGTAAAAAGATCACATGCAAAGATTTTAAACACAAATGCAAAAACTGTAAACTGTAAATTTCAAAACTCTTAAGACTTTTACCAGAGTTTTCAAATTTGTATACATATTTTACATTCATTAGAATAATCGTACATCATTATATTAAAATGAATAAATCATGGCTTAATCGCCAAAGATCCATCCATCCAACCATTTAGTAATTTAAATTGGGTTTAAATTATTTAAAATCCTAACTGCTCGGGGAGTGTAAGTGATGTTTGAAATAAATACTATATTCTAAACATCACTAATATAAATTTTGTTTTGTTGACTAGGGACTCAGAAGCCAGGAGTATGTGGTGATTCCACTAAAATCTACCCCGACAGCCGGCCTCAGATGTCCTACTCTCGGAGGACCCGGACCATGTTATTTTAGGTCCTCCCCCAATTGACACCATGCCTAATCAGGCCCTATACAGGCCAGCCCGAGGCCCAGGGCTAACACTTCTCCCTTTAATCGAGGCGTGGCGGCCCGATTGCGCCTTAATGCAATCAGCCATCCTATCCCCTACCGCAGCAATCAATCTGCCACCAAAGGTCCCCACTCTCTGGCGGCCCCGGCTGTCGACGTCCTCTATCACTCATATACCTACCTGATTTCATGATAATATTTATCCACAAGAAATGTCATTTTAACAATCCTTAGAGATAAAAACATATGATTACTTACATAAATTGCTTTTGGTTTAAATCCTATAGGCACATAGAGTACAGTAATATTATTAGAGACAGGCCACTCGCATGTGAATACAAAATAACATTTTTATTAAATAATGAAGTACCGCTCACCGAAGAAGTAAATACACAAATTAACTGAGTAATAACAATGTAGATTTAATATTATAGTTAAAAATTAAAGTAATCTATATAATAACATTAAAACTAAATATACAAAGTATTACATTCTACTAGATTACATTGTATGCCTAAAAGACAGTCTAAAGCGATTTAAAGACATTCTTACGACCCATTTATAAAACATTATAAATTGCCATATACTTTCGCCTCTATGAAACTTCTATAAAATTAACTCGTAAAAATGGCCCTTTTGGTTACTTAGGGTACTATTTTCAAAAGTAAATAGATCAAGTCGACGGGCCGAATGTCCCTCGGGCACGAAAAAGGTTACATCCATCTTCTACGCATATCGTTATGTCTGTATGTAGGTACAAAGCCTACACGATTATGGTTGTAGTTGATCTTTTACTTCTTCTGACGGATGTTTATCTATTTCGGTACCTTGTTACAGAAAAGGGCATACTGGTGAATTGTTTTACATATTGTAGTCAGTGGTCCCATGGTGTAATGGTTAGCACTCTGGACTCTGAATCCAGCGATCCGAGTTCAAATCTCGGTGGGACCTGTTCTTTTTGACCACAGTTTCACAAGATTAATTATATTTAGAACATTCATTAGGTACCGAACTCTAAAGAAATATATAGATAGAATATAGAGTAGACTCATTTATTTTAGACCTGGGCTTTACAAAATTAATGATCAACAGAAATCTTACACGAAGTTTTAATGAAACGTAATTAAAATTGACAGGTTTAATATTAATCAAAGGCATTAAAAATGATGGAATAAAAAAGGACTTACAAAAATTACTTTCCACTTAAAATAACTAAATAACTATCAGTGTATTAATCAACTTGCCAAAAAACATATAATTACACTGAGTACGTTACTGAGGGACGTAGTAATGCAGTTTGGTAGGGTTCAAAGCGCTCATTACACAACTCCTTCAATTAAAACAAAATTATAGAGATGGTGGAGATCCGTCATGGCGCATTTAGTAACTTACAATGATGGTATAGATAAAATAAACAATTTAAAACATTTTTTTTGAAATACGTTATAAGTATTTAGGCTGTGAATCTATGAAATTAAGCAAAGAGCTAATTAAATTTATATAATATTTGGTTAAAAAACTCAACATATAATAATTTAATAAGAGTAATAATAAGTCAATATGAGCACAGATATATAATAATAACCTTACACGTCTATAGGTATATCGTATACTAGTCGCCCAATGCTTTTAACCTGACGTGCTAAACAACCACTTCTGTCAAGTGTAGATTGACATCGGTGGGATGTTGGAACCCAAAAGAATAGAATCACAAAAATTTACCACAGTAGCCATTAAGTTGTTATTGTATCTAAGTATATGGTAATAATGTAATAAGATAAAAATCAAGTCATGAGTAAATTAGTAAAAAAATTTACATTCAGCAATTTTTTGCCCCAGTCTGGCAATACTAAATTTAAACTAAGTCTTAGTCTTTTTTACTTTTATTGTCTTCAATAGCATTGTTTTTATTTGACTATATAGTATAATGTTTTCATCTTATCTAGAATTTACTACAATGTAAAATATTTTGTAAAATACCTGCCATGCAATGCTTTAGTAAGCCAATTAAAATTTAATTTAGTTATGTATTCATAGTTACGAATTTAAATACCTATATCTAATTAAGTGACCGTTGTCTTAATAGATCTCTGCGAGTGCGAGTCCAACATGGGATTAGTTGACTTAATTTTTCGTAATGAATACTAATCTTGTCCAAAAAATATGAGGTTTTGTTATTTAGCGTTAGTAACGTATGATTATTTCTGAACAAAGTTATTTTATATTGACAACAAGCAGTTTTACTCTATTACCATACTACTGATGATTGTTTACCTCATCGGTAGCGAAGCTTTCAAAATATTATTAATATCAATTAATAAAATCCAAAAACCTAACATCGGACTAATATACTGCTAACCATCATGACTCTACCTTTTGGCATTGCATTGACTACCTACATAACGAAAAAAAACAATAAATCTATTTCATACTCTTTGTGGTTTTAGTTTGGATTATTTTTGGTTATTTGAAGTCGAATTACTGTTTAAAACATTAAATTAGCTCATTACTTACCTACCTGGAAAATATGTCATAAATACTTACGGCAAAATCGCTTTCTCCGTAGAACTCCATCATTGTTGGGTTTTCGAATATGTCAAACATTTTATAATGATAGTCGCTTCCACGCTATAATTATCCAGTTAAAAAAACCAACGGCCAACATATTTGCTTCTTTGTGATTCACATCCAGCTTTAGAATACGGTGGAGGTACGTAGCCAAAAACTTATGAACGCAGCATATTAAGGGCAAAAAGAATTCAAACATTATAACAATACCTTAATAGATTTTTTTTTTTATATAAATGTGTAGCTCGTAGCATGGAACTAAATATATAAATCGATAATTTTGTGGCGCTAGTATCGGGGTATCGTAGTGCTAACTATTACGGTTAGCACTTTGAATCCAACGGTTTAAATGTCGGTGGGACATTAGACGAAAATTTATTTTTACTTTCATCAGACACCTACTGTATTGCCAACACAACATCAAAAAAATTTAATACGTTTTAAAACCAAGATTTGGCCAGTACTTCTAAAGTATCATTCTCAAGAGTTTCGATGTGAATGGCTTTGTGGAAGGATGATTAACGGTGCAAAGTGACAGGTAAAGCAAAAGGCGGGGTGCAGATGGATGACCCACCGCGGGCGTTTCCCATTCGCTGCTCATGTTCCCATCGGCACTGTAATGATGGATAATTCGCACAACATTAAACATTACCTAGCAAGCGCCCAAATACAGAATAAATCAGTTTATGCTATACAGCTGATATAGGTGGGTACAAAAATTGTAATTACGTAACAATAATTACACAGTTTGTATAATTTACTGTATCTTAATTAATTATGAACGTTCACTACAACTCAACGATTTTTTCCTCAAACATCTCATAGAACAAAATAAGTATTTAATTATAATTATTTTAGTACTAACTTCGCGAAGACTATCGCGACTAGGTAAATGTTTAAGTGAATTATCGTGGATGTCCGTGTGGTGACGGATTAAGAATACGGAATGTCACCACCCCTATTCATCCCGTGGGTGTCGTAAGAGCCGACTAAGGTAGCAAACTACGCAGGACGACAGCACTGCTAAGAGAAGGAAAACTTGAAACAAACCCTATACCAACCCGTTTGGCCAGCGTGGTATAGTAGGCCAAAACCATATCCAGCAGTGGACTGTTATAGGCTGTTGGTGGTGGTTGGCGGAATTATCGTGGAAGTTTGAGCAACTTTACTGCTTTAAATTATAACCACAATAACAAAATTTAGTTTTGCTTTTTCAAATATTTGCGTAATATAAAATCATGGCTACAAGAACAAAACAAACACAAAAAGTATTTTCTCTGTAGTCGCGTCGTCTCTTATAGTTAAGAGATAGGTACATAATAAGTGCCTCAAACTATTAATATTAATATTGTGCTTAGTACCTTGCCGCATATAAATACGTATATTACTCAGCGCCAATAGCCGTAAATGTAATTAGTACATATATCAATAACTGGCCATAAATAATAAGTAATTAATAAATAATATAATTAAGACATTTTGTACGTAGACAGAAAATGTACGCCTAAGTGCCTACTTAGTTATACATTATTGTTAGATTGGTAGGTTTTGACAGGACCAAACGATAAAGAAAATATTGATGACAATATAAATACTGCAATATCTGTTGCCATGTTGTTAAATCATTGGCAAACAAATACGGAAATGCGATAGTGGAAACCTTAAACCGTAAGTCACTTCTTTGATGTTTGCCGCACCCTTTTCTGGAAATAAGTTTATGGTCACTTAGTTAGATGAAAAGTAGGTATGCTAATCATCTAATTAACTAATGATATCAGCCATATCAGGAAGGGCAGCCCGGCATAAAAATTGTCACCGGCGCAGCAAAATACAAGGCCTCTAAAACCTTTTAATCCACTTCACGGGCAGATCATGTGATTAAAAGGCTTTTTTGCAAATTTGTGGCGGTTTTTTTTTTAACTGAAGTTGAATTTGTTTAAACACCATTTCATTGTCCTTAGAGTGAGTATCGCTTCGCGGGCGGAGGGTATCCCCGAGCAAGTGTTCACAACAGCAGTCGAAGCGGCGGTCTGTGCTCAGCAGCGCTGGTGGGCGGTGCACTTCTGGCTGCTGTGGCGGTATTGGCGGTCGCCGCACTAGCCTTTTATATGGGCGCACTGAGGCCGGACAATGGAGAACGTAAATATACTTTAAATTAGATCTATTATAGTGTATGATGATGTATTTGATGATCATAGTGATGTATTTGTACTGGTGAGTTTGGATGCATTTAGAGAGTCAAAGAGATGCGAAATGCATGTTGAGGAGATAAGTGTCGCTGTGTCGGTAACCGCTCACTAGCAAGCACACATAGGTGTCCATGTCCAATCCACTATTAAGAAAGTTATAAAAACCAATTTCAAACACTGCATAATTTTTGAAGTTAATTTTAATGTATTTCCTCAATAATGATTTGAATAATTTCAAAATCAAACAATTTAGTTATAAAATGTTTAACTTTATACATTTTACCAGGGCCTTAATTCTGCTATTTTATGTTCACGCCAAATCACTGTCATACCACTGACACGCTATTGAGATGCCATCGAGTGGCCATTGGCATCGGTAGTCTACACTAACTAAGTGTCTTAACAGTGGCGCTGGAATGGCAGAGGCTCATCAGTGGTGACATCAAAAAGATCATATTTGGAAAAATAAGCAAATGATTTAATCAAAAAAACGTAATATATTTTCAAATTATAAGGAAATGATTTATTTATTGCTATTATAATTGAGGCCCTGATAAGAGCGATGATATGTAAAAATTGAAACAGTAATAATTTTTAAACGGATAGTTCTTTGTTTACCTCTTTCTAAGATTGAAAGACAAAGACAAATACTACTAGTGTTTAAAGCTAGAGTCCCATTTTTGTCGACACTGTATAATCGACTAAACATAGTAGACTAAACGTAAAAAAACTAGATATTGTTATTCAAATTCATCGATGTTGCTAGGCTACTAATTCTACTAGGTCACTACATCAACATGCAATACTTTTTTAAAGTAGCATCTAAATCATGAAATATTATAATAAGCTATATTCTTACTTTATTTTCTTGTACAATATTTAATATATACATACATTAATTTTCTTGTACAATCTGCGTTAAAATATATGAACTATCACGAACCCCTAACTATAACTTAACAAAATATATGTATTCTAATGCAATGAAATGAAGGAAACATATAACAATACATTATCTACACATAATGTATGTGTTTCATTCATTTCGTTGCATAACCATTTATGGGATCATACTCAGTCAACTGGAAATGAAAAATAGCCTGTTTAAGTAAATTGTGAGAATACCGCCAAGAAATAGGTTACTATGTTCCTTACATAATTATCGCTTAAAGAGGTATTATATTCTTTTGTTATTGTTACTTTATGCTCGTTTAAAAGTAAGTATTTAAAAGTTAAATTAAAAGGCGTCCTTAAAAATCGACCTAAGTTAAAGTAAAATTTAAGCATATAAACCACAGGATAGTAAACGGCTAATAGTGCCTTTATACACTTTGAACAATAATAGTGTCAGCTGCCAATACTATCAATGGAACCGTAGCGAGAAAATTTACCAGTTTTAAATGAGTGGTTCTTTTGTAAGGTGGCTCCTTCTCAAGCGGTAGACTCTATAAGAAGCATTAGAACCTTGTTAAATGTACTTGTATTTCTCATTTCAGCAATAATCGCTTTCGATGGTACATTCCGTGTGACTCGAGGTGATGTATATGGTGGAGTGCCAGGCAGCCCTTCATACAAAGAGCGTGCTCGGCGCTACACTGCCGCACTTCGTCAAGTATATGCTAATCCTTCGTCGTTAAGACCAGCTTTTACTGGAGCTATAGTAACAGGCTTCGGCGACCGAAGACTAGATGTTCATTTCAGACTTTATCTTGATAGAAGAAAAATACCCAGGTGATTTTAACAGATACTAATTTTAATTTACTATTACGTACATAGTGACAGACATAAATACGTTGACATGCCCATCTTTTCTATTTCAGTACTCTGTCGAACATCGAAGAGACGCTAAAAAATATTCTTATTCAAGATTTAAATTCAAAACACCCAGCTGTAGGTCAAACGATCAAAGTAGACACGTCGAGTATAATCATTAAAAGAGATTTAGAACATACATATCATTCAGAATCTTATGTCAAAGAAGCCATGAACGAAAGCATGTCAATAACAAGCCCAAAGGGTACACCTTTACCAGCTGGTACAGATAAAACCCTTCAAACAAGAGTCGGCGTTGTTCGGAAGACCACAGTTAAACCAAACCAAAAAAAGGATCCAGACGAACCAGATATTGACACCGAAAATATTCCTGTAGTCCAAGGATCATTTCAAATTACTAAGACTGAAGCCGATATAACAGAAAATAAAAAAATAAATTCTAGTCCACCGCGTCATGATGATAAATTAAGTCATAAACCCACACCAGTAAAGACTGCAACAACAACGACCACAACTAAAGCTCCTGTTACAAAACCAACTACGCGAACTACATCTACGAAAAGATCTCCTACTAGCACACCAAAAACTCGTCCGTTTACTATAAAATCCACTTTAAATGTTAAACCAAGGACAGAATCGACACCTAAAGTGGCAGTTCAAAAAACTACTATTACCCCAGTTAATACGACCACAACTGCTGTACCTACAACAACTACAGTCATGTCGACTACTAATAATGTGTCCCAACTACTACTTGACCTGTTAACAAGTGAAAATCATTATAAAGACCTGCCTAAAATTGATTCACTATTTACTGTACCTCATGTAATTGATAATGAGCCTTGGCGGCCCATAACCCAACCTTACTATGAACAGACAAGTAGGTCACCAATTCTCCTAGATACTAGCAGTGATTTAAATGCTGAAGACAGAATGGGTGTTGCAGAAGTGATCGACGATGTATCAATAATAGAAAGTATGTTGAGCCCGATTCCACCAGTAAAACATAAAGATAAAGTTACACCTCGTCCCTTAAATGTACACAATGTTGACCCTGCATTAGCAGCTGACATTTACGTGCCTAGTCCTGTCTACACAAGCTTTACGCTACCGACATTTGCACCACCTTTGAGAAACATGGAAACTCTAGGAGGACATTATCCAAAACCACATCCTATTCCAGTTGACAAAATAAGTGGTGTTGTAGAAGTGATTGATGACACTAAACTTAGTTACGTAGACGATGGAAAGCCAGTGGAACGACCACCGAAAGACAAGCAAACAAGTGTATCTATAAACGTATTAGAATTAGATAATGCATATAACGATACAGAAAAATTAACATTAGATGGAACATCAATACTAAAGAAACATGATACTACGACTTCTAGTACTACAAGCACTTACACACCGACCACAAAGTCAACAAGTATCACGACTTTTATGAATTCTTCCTCCACCACGCCAAAATTAGAAGTAGTAAACATAACCGACAAAGCTAGTGAAAAACAGATCGATAATACTACGAAAGAGAATTCAACTCGGCGACCTAACAACAAAGTATCTATTATACCAAGTACAAGTGCACCACATTTGACATGGGAATTAATAAATACATCAACAAACGATAATGGTACTTTTAACAAATATTCGCCTGAAACATATTATAATGATACCTTGCAAGCTATAATTACAAAAAATGATGAAGTATTTCCAAACACTACGCCAAAATTTACTGGTAAGGTTTCTATTTTAAGAAATCTTACTGAAGTTATAAAAAAAGATGCGCAAAATACATCTGAGAAGCCTGAAGGAGACCTCACTAATTTAGAGGTTGAAGAGCGACATGATCATGACAAGATGACCGGGTCTGTAGAACTAGTGCCCGATGACGAATTAGAATTAACAACGGCAGGAGTGATAACATTATTACCGGCTAAATCAAATCTCGGTGTAAATAGACCCCTTAGACCCCGACCAAAAGTTAAACCCGAGTCTCAACCTATAAAAGAAAATTTACGCAGTTTTTTTCGCAATGGTCCCGAAGCGCAAACATCAATTGATAATTTGAGTACCGAGAACTATTTCCAAAACTATGAAATTGATCGTAACAGTGAAGAAATTCAATTAACAGATAGTTCAGACCTTGTAACCCATATTGAACAACAAGATGCAATAATCTCACCGTCAGTAACAGAAAGTTTAAAAGTTATTAACATACCTGAAAATCTCTCTACTAGTAGTCGATTCCCAAAATCAAATGAAAACCTACATTTTTCGAAAGATTTGAATGAAACTCATGAGCTGCCAGAAGATTCAAATATAACTAATGTCCCTCAAGGCACTTACAGAGTGTCATATCACGTCACTGGTAGTGTAAGTAGCAAGCGTGCAAATAAGACCCAAAATCTGCCCGCGTATGAATTGGCGTTAGATCCAGACGTTGTATTAGAAATACCTATTAATCAATCAAACACTTTAACGATAGACAAGCTTAGACAACTTGCTAGTTTGGCTACTATATCTGATTCTAATAATAATACATTGTTTCGAGCACCAGGCGGCGTGATTTCTACAAAAGCAATACCATCTAGCTACACACTGAATCAAGCGGGTTTTAAAATATTAACCAAAACTTACAACAAAGTGCAAAATCCGAGTAAACAAGAAGAAAATAGTCTAAACAACCTGGTTTCTTCCCTTAAAGAAATTTATGGGAAGCCAACAAAGCCTCAAAAGGAAAAAGAAAGCAATAAAGCCCAGAAGGAAGTTGTAAAAGAAGGTAAGACAATCTAAAGTGAATATCTATACTCCTCGAAAGAGTTCATTGTTGTAAAAATCGGCATAACTTGCGAGAGCTTGAGACAACGCTCACACACATTCCTTTGCCAATTTATCTATTCTATTATTGTTGAAAATGTTAAGTTATATATCAATATTATTTAACAGATATAAGTAGTTTACGACGATTTGTAAAAGACGGAAAACATAGTTAACAATGCATAGAATGACAAAGGCAAACAGGTTGTATTAGAGATCTTTGTTTTTTTCAGAAGAGTGTAATAACGCGACTTCGTTTCGTTGTTTGGGAGGTGCATGTCTTCCACTGACATCCCGCTGCAACCGTCTTCTAGACTGCCCAGGCGGAGAGGACGAACGTTCATGTTCTTGTGCAGACTATTTACGCGCAGACTTTTCGCAATCAAAAATTTGCGATGGTGTCGTTGATTGTTGGGACTATTCTGATGAAAATAAGTGTGGTATGTACCAAAAATTATGCGTGTATAGTAATAAAAATAATGAACCTGACCTGATATCTTGTTCTCTTTAACTAAAAATACTTTTTTTTTAAAAAGGTTACTCCCGCACTGGGAATATATCCTGTTTCGGGGGACTATTGTTAGTATTGTAACTAATGTTAATTAAACCAATATTAAAAATCTCTATCTTTTCTGACATAGTAAGCTGAAGAGTTTATTTTGCGGTTGAACGTAATTTTCTTTAAAGTTTCAAAGACCAATTCTTGGGCAAGATTAGCTAAGCTATTTAACATAACCTTAGACCCTAAGAATCTAACACACTATAAAAATGTACTGAAGCTTGTACTTAATAATTTTAGAACATCCAATGAAAACTCGATTTGTGCTCATTATTTCAGATTGGTGTAAAGACGGACAATACGTGTGTGCCAATGCTCGTCAATGTATCGAACCGGCTCGTGTTTGTGATGGAACTCCAGACTGTCCGCTAGGGGATGACGAGAAGAGTTGCGTTGCCCTCGCTGAACAATTGGAGGACAACGAAATCATACCATATAACGAAGAAGGTTAGTTGTATTTAGTATTTTATGGCATTGAAATTAGCAAGACATCGCATTTTATACGTAATCAACCAAATACAAAAACTCTAAAGCTATAGGTACTTCACTTAACAAGGAATGACAATATATTTTTATATTAAAATACCTAGTATAAGTATTGATAGTGATAAGGTATTTCCAATATCGTGTTTCTAACTTTAAAAAATAAGAACTTCCATACAAATGTTCGTCTCTTATTTTACCCATTTAATGGTAATATTTAAAAAAATCCTTTTTCAATTAGTGATTACAAGATAAAAAGCATTAGCTGCCGAAATTTCAAATTTTTGCCCCGGCACTTTAGGCTTTGAGTTGATGAATCAGTCAGTTAACGGCAACGTGATTTTAAATGCTGAGTTACAGGCGTTCATGGGCGGTGGTAGTCAATTTCCATCAGGTGACCCATCAGCTCGTTTGCATCCTCTTCCATAAAAAAATAGTCAAAGCAAGTAATTTTTATGCTACGATTATGAAACTGTGTGTGTAGTATATTTTGAGAAGTTCTACCTTTCTAAACAAATATCTTAGCCGTCAGGAATTGTCGCCTTGAATAAATTACTTGACGTAAATAATAATATTGTCCAGTAAGAAACTAGAAAAGGGATGGAATTTATATACAAAAGACAAAGTATTTTTTTTAAACTTAAACATTATTGTGGTTTACTTCAAAAGCAAGAGAAAGTGCTAAATAGCATCCCGTGTAAATCGATTCAAATGCAAGTGTGTATTTGGAGCGAACAAAATAAGGGTATCTCTAATCTACGTTTTAATTTACAATGAATCTTCTGAGAGTAGAGGTGCTTCCTTAGCCGAATAGCTCTAATTCAAAAATATCCTAAACCTTTTACCATGATCTTTCTATCTACGAGAATTTTTCCATTCATTAAACGATGTCTAGTTGTTCATACTTGATACTAATGTCATGGTTACGATATCTTCAGGCTACGTGATGGTGCGTAAGAGAGGCGTCTGGGGTCGGCTTTGCGTGGAGAGTTTCGCAGATGTTGTGGAACAAGCACACAGCTCCCTTAAACTCCCCGATCTTGGAAGAGCCGTTTGCCGAGCTATGACCTTCCAGTAAGCATTACTATAAAAAATAAAAATATTTAGAAAACCTATAAACGATTATTACATAATATGTACATGTATACAGATGCAAGTAGCTTTCTCAAGCTGTTTAAGTACAAAAAAATATGACATACTAAATAAAAAAAATGCTTTCTGTACATTTTCTACATACTCGTACAAGCTTTTAGAAACTAAAAAAATATATTCTTCTACGTGAAATTTGCTTGAAAAGATTGGAGATGATTTTACAAGTGATCACCTGATATATCTATGGATGGCACCCTGGGTTTTATAATGTTGTACAATATAACATACTACTAAATGTTATGTTCAGCGATGCTGGGTGGGCTCGCGAGGCTCGTGAGGGCCGCAAGTCTAGCTTGTCTGGCTACTGGGAGGTGTGGCACAACGCGGATGCGCGTGCGCACGACACGCGACTTACCTTTAGAAGAGCTTCGTGTGCGAAAAAACGAGCCTTGCGTGTGCGATGTACTGGTCTTGACTGTGGGATACGACCACATGCCGATGCTCAACAGCCAAGGTACGTTCAGACGTCATTATGTCATAATTATGTTTCTTCTTTAAGCTTTCCTGACTAGTAGCTTTTAAATGGAAAGAATCTTCAAATACTGTCTATCTATCATATATATATATACGAGTATAGGTACATATCACATAAATTTTAATTTGTAACTATGTGCAATTGTATGTTTCTTTGTTCGAAAATCAGAAAGCAATTATTCCACTCAAGCATATTAGTAAGAATCTTATTTTTGTGAGTTGATTTTGTAACGTAGTCTCTCTTGTTAGTTATACAATAAAAATTACGATTTTAAGAAAAAAAAAGGACTTCGTTTTATACTTAAAACTTTTAAATTTAATTTACATATGAAAAGCTCGAGGTTTTAACCCTTCGTTCATCCCACCTTCCAGGTCATTGGTTACGTGTCATAAATTTACTTTATGGGTTAAAACATGATAGACCTATATTAAAAACACCATAAAATGTGCACATATTAGCAATTTACTTAATAACTTACATTAAATTTGTTATCTGTAACAACTATCATTTGCTACATCAAAGAAAAGACCAAATCAGTTATTGCTTATGAGATCCGGATTGAAGATGAAAGCATAGAACAATTAAATGAGTTCGTTTATTTTATAAATATTTTACGAGGAATAGAAAGCTAGATAAACATATTGAAAGAAGAGTATAAAAAGTAAACACAGAGAAGGATGTGCTGCTCTGGTTTTGCAAATGCTAGAACATGAGTGTATGTATCAGCGAATGAATGTGTCTCTCATCAACATTTTGTCAACCATATTTAAAAGACTACCGTTTAGGCATCTCCCTGCCATTCAAATATCCTTACAATTGGTTACAGCGAAAGCAAATTTTTTATCATCACACTCAAATCTTAGTCCCTAGTGTAGGGTAGTGTCAAGTTTATATGTATGGCACCGTAGATGTATGTGATAGGGTGAATTATACTGACGAGCACGTGCGTCGGGGCAGGGTCGTGGGTGGCGACGGAGCAGCAGCCGGCGCATGGCCGTGGCAGGCCGCTCTCTACCGGGACGGAGACTTCCAGTGCGGTGGCACATTGATTCACGCGCAGTGGCTACTCTCTGCCAGCCATTGCTTTTACCAGTGAGTTGCTTTTACCATTATAAAAGAGAATTTTTATTATCTGTTCTTTTTTATTTTATTTTCGATTAGCAGGCAAATAGTGATGCCCTAACACGTCCCCTCGTCACTCGTCCCCTAACATGTCGCCCTAACGTCCTCGTTTCAATTAGTTAACTCTTGCGTTGTTAACTCTTGCTTAGACTAACGTGACTAGTGAGACAACGTGAGGATAGGTATTTTAAAAATGATACCGGTGTTAGACCGGAATCATTTTCAAAATATTACTAATATCTTCAGTTAGTATCATAGTGTGGAAAAACATATACCTACATTCAGTTTAAATTATATCAGAAGGAGTGTTAAACTTTATTCTAAAATGAGATCTAAGAATATTCAAGAGATAACTTCAAACTAAGTACCATTAATTTTACATTAAAAAAATTATATAAATTATTTGATACAAGGGTATCTCGTCATTTTTTTAATGATTACTAGTAATTTTAATGCTAAATTCAGTTCTTTTATTAATATTTTAAAACAATATAACCCGATAATGTCATACATAAGTAGGTAATTTGTTTTTTTTTTTTAATAAAGTTTGGCGAAGGAAATACTAGATATTTTCTATTCGCAGGGCGACGGAAGCTCACTGGGTAGCACGACTAGGCGCTCTTCGTCGAGGAGCATGGCCTCGCGGTCCATGGGAAAGAGTTGCCCGCGTACGTCAGGTCGTGCTTCATCCGAAGTACGCGCCAAGAGGGTTCCGTAACGACATTGCGTTGCTCCGACTGGATCCATTACCGCTGCACGCTCGGTTGCGACCCGCTTGTCTGCCGCAGCCACGGGCTCAGCCGCCTGCAGGCCACCACTGCACAGTCGTTGGTTGGGGTCAGCTTTATGAACATGAACGAGTCTTCCGTAAGTTGGTTTTTATTACATAATTTCTTAGTAAATCGAGCCTGAGTTATATATCATTGGTGAATTTAGCGTATATAGTGTCTTACATTACACAATTTTCCCTTCTATCTCTTCGCATTATAACGAGCGTATGTAATCCTTTTTTTTTGTACGTGGGAAAATCCTCTCAGACCGCCAGCCCACAGGTACCTATCTCACCGACTAAAACTACACGGCGCATACTACACCTAAAATAGCAAGGAATAGCACATCCGGACCCTCCTAGCTAAACTAACTCTCAATTAGGCGATGTCGAGTGGAATGGAAAGCCCGCGGTGGGCAATGCTTTATCTAACCTAAGTCTACCAATAATGTTACTTCTAGCTGACACATTACAAGAGGTGGAGCTGCCAGTGATATCGACAGCAGAATGCAGACGTCGTACGCGACTCCTGCCGCTGTACCGTGTCACGGACGACATGTTCTGCGCGGGCTATGAACGAGGTGGACGCGACGCCTGTCTAGGTGACTCCGGCGGACCGCTCATGTGTCAGGTATCTCATCTTAATACAATATAAATGTGCGAAATATTAAAGAAATGGTACATAGTCCTCGCAGCTGAGCCCTAACTTGTAGTTTCTATATTTTTGGATTTTTTTTTTTCTATTTGAAAATAAGAGTGATAGAAATTGCGGCTAGCCTAAATTTCATAGTCGGAATTGAATTTATTTACTGCATATCCAAAATCTAATATTAATACGTATACTGTATATTAGCAGTTATTTGTAAATGAATATTTTGTAACCAATCAGACAAGTCGCTGGCCCGTAGTTTCTCCGACTTGCGCTGAATAAGCAGTCGAATCGCCGACGGCGATATCGTGTACTCCATGACTGCGTTTACAGAATTTAAATAGTAATTTTTATTACAGGAATCAGACAAATGGTACGTCTACGGTGTGACAAGTAACGGGTATGGATGTGCACGAGCAAATCGCCCTGGCGTTTACACGAAAGTGTCGCACTACATAGAATGGATCGACAATACCATAGCGATCCACACCCCATTGTATAACCACACCAGCAACTTGGACGAAGATGAAGAGTTCGATGAAGACTTTTATTCTGATCTCGAAACTGCGGAGAACAGACGAGCGAATAGAATAGACACTTGTAAAGGGTACAGATGCCCACTGGGCGAATGCTTGCCCGCTACAAGCGTATGCAACGGCTTTTTAGAATGTTCTGATGGGAGTGATGAGTGGCAGTGCAGTAAACCTGCGCCAAACAATTCCAGTTTAGACCCTGATTGACATTAGTATTAAAAAATATTACTTATAAGCCAGTACTTAGTAGAGTAATCTTTTTAAATTCGACTGATATTTCATAAGCATATAATTATGTAAGTTATCAAGTCTCTGTAGAGACAAATTATTCTGATGGATATAGAGATACCCTAAAATTCATATGACGCTAGACCGTTGCTACGCCATAATTATTATTTAATGTTATTTGGGCTAGTTTGTAAATATAGTTGTTAATATTTGTGCCCAAATTGTTTTGTTTACCACTGCACAATTATTTTTTTAATCCATTTTATTTATTGAAATACATGGGGTACCTTTTCCGTCTGAAGGTGAATTATTATTTCAAATGGACAACGTAAACCATGGCGAAAATGAAATAAAAATGTAACGAACACTTCCTTACTTTTATTTGTCTCATTTTGGTAGTGAGCTCTTATACTACATATTCAATGAAAATCTACTTAGAGATAATTAAAAATCAAATAATCTTAAAAATAAATTTAATCTCTTGACAAATAAATTAACAAAATGCAAACCTTCAATACAGTATTATATTCTTCAAAATGAAGACGATTATAATAAATAATAGCAGTTCGTACGTACATATTCACTATGTCGGCAAATGTTTAAATTATAAGAATACAAAATATAGTGATCTACAAATTAGATAAGTTTAAAATATAATAATAACAATCACAAAATAAGATCATGTCCTAAGTTAAAATATTAATGGATAATTTTCTCAGTAGATAGACATCAATTAAAACAATGAAAATGATTGATCACATACGAAGAATACGATAAGAAACTTAGACCCTATTCGTGTCAAGCGTTGGGGTTGTATTATCGCCCAATATTAATAGATAGCAAAAATCGAGAATGCGAACATTTCTTACTGCTGAAACTCGAGACAGTCACACACCTTACAACTAACCTAAACTAAATCCTGTACCACGCGGTACTCCAGAAGCTTCTCGCTGTCACAATGTCGACATCTCAAGATAGTAGTGTAAGAAACATCTTTACATTACACACAAAGGCCAGTAAATATATGAGTTATAGTTATTTCTACGTCGTATTACAATTATAATACTAAATTACTACAATCGAGCGCAATGAGCAAGAAATGAAGACAGTTCTTAATTAACATGATCGATATAAGACAAAATGATCATACGTCAAACTCGGGAACTTATCTCGTATGATTAAAAGTTGCTAGTGCTTTTAAAGGCCTTTCGAGACGAATCGGAGTAGGTGGGCTAATGTGAAACTAGACCGTGCAATGATAGATATATAAAGATCCGCCTCGCCTCAAAGCTATAGATATATAGTGAACGAGGTTCCCTTCCCGAGTGTTAAACTATATAGTGTCTAGCCCGTGCTCTCGACGGGTGTGGTGGAAATGCCGCCTCCAGACTTGTTCAGTACCGTCTTGAATTGCTCCGGCACTGGGTGCTCGACCTAAACAATACAAAATATTATTATAATATTGTAGCATATGATGAATGAAGTATAATATATATGCAATTGATAATATATACACATGAAATATATTATATACAATTTCGAGAATATTATAAATAGTCCAGACAATTATTAACCGTAACACCAGCGTGATCTGACAAACTTATTGGAATAAGAAGCAGCCGACCCTTGTGGGATCCCAAGGGATCGGCAACTGTGCTTGGGCTTTAAAAAATAAACTTTAAACTCGATAAAAAGAAAATGAGACTACTTTCATATGCAGCTCAGATTATTAGGGGTATAAGATTAAGAAAGCGGACGGATTACCGCAGGACAACTGCAACGACAGTATTATATGACGAGCTAGACATTTTAATATTCATTAAGTATTATGTGAGTTAGCTCATTGAAAACGTGCCTTCGATTCGATTACTACGATTACATTCGATTACTAAAATACTTTTAAATTTGTACCTAGAAAAAAATTTGAAATAAGTTTACTTACATAATCACCATTGCCCTTGGGCACGAGCACGTTCATCTCAGAGGATTTTGAGCTGACAATCTCCACATCGAGTGACTGCGGCGACAGGTAGATCTGACACCCGTCTGTCTTATCAATCGATACAGTTGGCACCTTGCCCAATACCTGAGTATAAAACAAATATTTAGGGTACCTATTAAAGGTATATCAGATGCCGTATAACCTTGACTTCTGGAAGTGGAACACTCCACATTCCAACGCTCTCAGAGTAGTACAGGTTAACAATGCTAATACTAAGCGTTATAAAACTGCCCTAACTTACCTATAGCAAAAGGTTTTAGAATATGGTAGTAATACTAACGTATACGCTATCAGTATTAAAAAATGTTAAGTGAAATTGGTCATTAAATAAAACAAAAAATTGAACTGCGTTAATAAGAGTAACTAGAAAGTAATATGTAACTTGACCAGGAAAATTAAGAAATCCTGGGTGCCGCCAGGCTTATATCAGATATCTATACTAATATTATAAAGCTGAAGAGTTTGTTTGTTTGTTTGTTTGTTTGTTTGTTTGTTTGAACGCGCTAATCTCAGGAACTACTGGTCCGATTTGAAAAATTCTTTCAGTGTTAGATAGCCCATTTATCGAGGAAGGCTATAGGCTATATATCATCACGCTAACACCAATAGGAGCGGAGCACCAATGAAGAATGTTTCAAAAACGGAGAAAATTTATTACTATTGAGAGACGCAGACGAAGTTGCGCGGGTCAGCTAGTCTATCATATATGTATTAGAATAATATGTGTGGTAAAATACGATCTTGTAATGTATCATCAAAATCAGAATCTAAATTACTACAGCGTAACAATGCAAATTGTTGGATTCCAAACACATCAAACTCTTTGTCCCTATAACATTTATCAATACTTTTATTCCGTAGCCCTCTGTTTCTGAATTTTTTTCCTACATAACAAGATGGTTTTATTGATAATAAAAAGATTTTATGGCTGTTTTTTTTTATATTTGCCTCAACTCTCTTTTTACTATCTTCCCAAATCTCTGTTAAAATCAGTCAAACTGTTTTGAATCTAGAGAAATAAATATATATACATATGTACGTGCATATTGATAAAAAATATTACCCTCCTTCGGCAGTCCGATGATAAAATTATGGACCCAATTTGTTAGGGTCCATCTAACACTTAAATTTCTGGTCTGATAAATTCCCTTAGCTGTAAGGTCACTTCTTTATTGTTGATTTTGCGTTAAAATTCCAGGACACGCTTGTACACAACCAAGCAACAAAATTATTTTTATACAATTTGTTTTATTTATCATTTTCACAATTATTTAGACCGTTTTAACGACCAATCAATATTCAAATGGATATCATGTACTTAATAATATAACATAATAATATTAAGAGGTTTCTGTGGGCTATTCTGTTGCGAAATTAGAATGTTTAAAGGTACTAACGACTGGTATCTAATATATCAAATAATGAATATTATAGAATAAAACTAATAATTGTTTACAAATTTAAAATTATTTTAAATAATGTGTTTCACATTAATGTGAGCACAGGAGTAAACATTATGTTAATACGATAAGATCAGAAAGCGTAGGTACTCCGACAAGTTTGTGACGTTTTCAATAGGGTCACATAGCTAAGCATATTTTATTCCATCAGTTTTGAGTAACTCTTTTAATGGTATTCAGAGGGCGTTATTTATAATTCAAATAATCTGTTTTTATTTCTGTTCTTCAATTCCGTCTCTTTTAAACCCTGCTTATAAACCTTTACCCGCATAATTTACATAGGCAAGGTACAATATGACACTAAAGACTGAATATATGAGTTTGTATTACTTTGAATACAAAATGTGTTATTCTAGTCTATCGTCTCTCGTCTAAAAAAAGAGTGTTAGTGAAAGAAACAGCTGTCGTGGCATTTTCATCTGTCAAACATCAATTATGTATGTTCATATTAGAAAATATTCGATAATACGTTTTGCCCCCAAGTAACACGTTTTTATAATGTAACCATCACATAACGTCATCATCCTCATCTTCCTAATTCCAATTCTATTTGATTGCGCTCAATGCGAAAAGTTTTAGTTCTTTCTTTTTATGGCCGGTCGCCTATCTTTTTTAAGGCATATGGGGCCAATGAGCAAACGGGTGTCCTGATGATCAGTGAGTACCGCCCATGGAACTCAAGTCTTTCCCTTCCTCCCTCGGAATCAGGGGGAGGTGTTTGGGCTCCGATAACCTCACTAATTCGGTGAAAAGTAACCAAAGAACTGCTTAACAATGGATCGTGGTATCACTCCGTTCGAGCCTGGCTCATATGTACCGAAGCATGGCTCCTACCTGGGAATGTAATATTTATCAGACCGGACAAGGGAATGTAAATTGTGATAAGGCAGACGGATAGGGCGATGGGAATACGGGCACGCCGTCATCGCGGCGGCTTACCGCCGCGATGACGGCGTGCCCGTAACGGGTGCCCGTAACGGGTGCCCGTAACGGGTGCCCGTAACGGCGTGCCCGTAACGGGTCTTAACCCGTTATGGAGGATTGGCTCGAGAGGCGTCACGGGACCCTCTCATACCGATTGACGCAGGTGATCACTGGGAAGGGATGTTTCGGAGATCACCTGTGTCTGATCCGCAAGGAGCCAACGCCTGAGTGCCACTACTGCGATGGCCAGACCGTGGACACGGCTCTCCACACGCTGGCAGAGTGCCCGGCGTGGGTTGAGCAGAGGCGAGACCTCGTGGCGGCCATCGGAGTGGGAGTTCTCTCGCTCGATAGCCTGATTGCGGCTATCGTGCGGAGCGAGAGTGCGTGGAACTCTGCCGTCTCCTTCTGCGAGCAAGTTATGCTCGCGAAGGAGACGGCGGAGCGGGACCGGGAGAGGTTTAGGACTCTCCCGGCCCGCCAGGCCCGGGAACGGGCCAGGTACCGCAGGCGACTCAGGCGCCGGAGGTCGCAGAACGACCTCCGTCCTCCATAAGCGCAGGCCTGGGGGTGACAGGTGAGGCCATCTGTCACCCTAGCAGAAGCAGGCCGGGGTGGCGGCGAGCGCGTTGCGAAGCGTGCTCGCTTCCAGGGAGCACAGGGAACATGGGGTTCCCACACGGGGGAGGGGTCGTCTACGCGTATGTAGATGACCCGAGTTATGTCGGGGCACCAGGGACTTCCTTTCTAGGGTATACCTGCGTGCGGTTTTAGTCGGTTCGAGTCCGACATGCCACCGACAGGTGGTAACCGAGGGGATTTCCGGACGAAAAAAAAGAAAAAAAAGAAAAAGGGCGATGGGAATTAGGGTAATAAATTTTTTTTAACATACTGTAAATATCTGACGGAAAATAGGACTAAGACTGCAGTAGCTCGTAGAGACCGAGGTCGCGTACTTATGCACCTGTGATTGGAAAGGCCACTAGGATAGGGATACCGACATTGTGTCACATAAAAAAAGCAAATATTATCCATACTTTTGCATGAATACCTATTACATTAGATAGTTTAGTAAGTACACAAGCAAAGAGACCGGGTATAATCTCAAAATGAACTCTAGGAGTGAAACCAGAGGGAAACAGGGCACCGGCTGGGAACTTAGTATGTGTGTTATTGCCCTCCTATTTCTTCAGAAAGGCAAGCCCGAAACCCCTCACGTAACCATATCAACTGAAGATCGTCCCATGCTTCTGCGGGATCCCGATCTTTAATGTCCTCCGCTTATCTAGCATGACTTCCTCGTCAAACATAGGGCCTAATAATGCATTTCATGTACATTCCAAAACCTATATCATTAATAAAGACGGTTAAATGTATGTATGTGTGTTCTTTCAATGTTTTGCAATTTAATAACTTCAGAGATTATCCGATGTTTACATGACCTAGATAATACATACATAAACACGTAGAGATCTGACCTTTTTTTTCATTTACTAGTGTTTAATGATATAATCTTAAAGTAAGCTTCTTTTTTTTACTGTCAAGAGTTTCAGAATTAAAATTAAAACAGTCATATTGCCTCAAACATAAATTATTTTAAATTTATATGCTTAGACACAAAGTAAAGAAGAATGTTATTACGAGCCAAGCAAAAATACAGCATCAATTATAAAAAGAGTCTTTACTGTAATCTGGTTATTGATAGCTTTTTTCCTTTTCAAAGACAAGTAAGTCAATGAATGTCAATGCTTTAGCTGTTTTCAAAATTACATTTTTATTTGTGTAAATTTGTGATAATTTTAATGAACTGAATATTAGAATACATTAATTTTATACTACACTATACTTTTAGATGTTGACTTTAATTATAATTTTGTCGGCGATTATAACTGTTAATTATTTGAGAATGTTCATGTATACAGAAAATACGCGTGAAGTAAATGAGGAAGAGGTGAACGGATTTAACCTGACGAAGTCTTGGAGTACCGTTCTCTATGAATATGGACGCCAATTCGCAGAATACTGCATTAGTACATCATATTTATTATACGTTCGACTCACTTTTGTCAATTTGGTTCGTTTGCATGTTCGTTGCTCTAGATTTAGTTAATAAATAAGACAAACCTAATATATTGTCAATTCCACAGTTGATATTTCTTTTAAAATACGTGCCAACGGGATTCTATGTGTACAAGTTAGTGAAAGATGTTTACCTAACATCTCGACGAAGAATTAATGAAAGACAAATGGAAATGGACGATATTCAGCTACAGGTTCAGTGCAATTTATTTTGTTCATATGAGAAATGCCGAAATTGTAACACACTCGGTTTTTTTTTCATTATAGATAAAGATAGTGAACACGAAGTTATGCTTCCGTGATGCGGAATTTACTGAGCGTACAGAACAGTTGCAACGCAGTGCGGAAAGGCTGCGAAGCGTACGGGCACGAGTACGAGACATAATTGCCAATGATGAAGGTCTACGCCATACGCTCGTCACTGCAGCTCAATGGGACGCAGAACACGACGCACATTTACATTATGCATCAAAAGAACAAGGTCATTGTATATCATACAATAGTCAAGATTGATTCTATTGAATTATAAAATACTTATGTTATTTTTTACTTTAGACCAGCAATTTATAGTGGAATTAATAGGGGAAATAAAAAATGTACCTGGGACATCAAATGTGAACTCACCGGAGAAAGTGTGCAGTGAAAACGCACAGACCGATCAGAAAACACCTGAGAATAGTGTATACTCGTCCTTAAGTGATGTCGATATTCGGCAGGACTATCGCGTTAAGATTGTCAAAGTCACTAATGTGTACAAAGTGGCTTATCTTAAGAATTTCATCAAACAGAAAAAGTTACGTAGAGCCAATAAGCAGGCATTATTGAAAAAAAAAGTGAGTTCTCTTCTTCCTTTACTAGACAGTAATCTCCTTAATACATTAACTGTCACTAACTATTTTTCTTTTATAAATCAGATGGAGAACATAAAAAATCTATTAGAAGATTGGCAGAAAACCTTAAACATGGTGATCAATAGCAAAATGACTATACTAAACATTGATTCACGTCCCATGGACCTTGTTTCCCAAGAGGCCATGGGTGATTATTCTAAACCCAACGGTTTGTCTGATTCAGACAGTGATTTGAGGAACAGCTTGACGGATTCGTGCTATGATGAGTATAACCAAAGCTGGATGCCAAACCAGTACCAACCTTACACGTATAACTATGATGTCAGTATATCTAACATTTATTTATTTCTCTTCCAAAGTAACTATGTAATCAACTAAACTATTAGACAAAGCCTTGATTTTCTGCTGATTATAACAAAACTGCAAAAAAGCGGTGAAAAATTTAATACGGTTTTTGTACGCGCAAAACTGTCTCAAATAGAAGATTATATTTAATAAGACAAATATTTTTTTCCACAAAATAAGAAGATTAATTCTTATTATTTTTTTTTTTTTTTTATTTTTTTAGGGCGTACCCGATGCAACTGTATTAAATGACTTTTGTGAAACTCAAGACTGTGATGGGCGATATACATCTTTTTTCAGCGATCGCGGCAAAAGTCAGAACATGATGTCGATTATCGAGGAAACCAACAGTGAAATAGCCGTTGAAGAGAATAAAAGCGAAATAGACGACGAGGGCGCAGGCAGTGATAGACGTTCATTAACTTTGTAACATTTTATCTTTAATGCATATATTGCTCGATAAACAATACTTCGTCTCATTATTACGATTATTACATCGATTAACGATAAAGGATTAAGGACAAAGGACACTTGGCTGACAATTTATCTTTTCGTTTTTATAACAACAAAAACTTATTCATCTCTTTTAAATTATATAAATTGAAACCTTTTCACGGTACATTCCTTCTAGTTAAGTTACAACTTTGATTTTCTTCAATTTGAATCGAAAACAAATTTCAGTCACTAAATTAGTCTAGACTACTAGATGTAACATGAATTTGCTAGTGTGGCGAGTAGGCGAGTAGGCGAGTAACCCCTATGCGTTAGGACGTAGCACCAGATCATACGATCTACGTCACATATGGCGTGATGTTCTCGACATGTAGGGGATAAGTACAGTAAGCCCCGCCTACAGCAAGATGACCGCCCATTTGCTATTATACTACCAGCGCGCGCGCAATATGGTGGACGCACATCTTTTGTTGTACGGCATACGCCCACGTTCAAAAAGTGCCAGGACCGAACCTTTTCTATGTTTATTATTATTAACTATTTTCGTGTATAAATACTGTGTCGCATTGTGTGAGAAACCATTCCGACTTTTGTTATCGTCTTGGTACAAAAATAAAGAATTGTTTACGTGTTGCTCAAGTCCTTTGATTATTGATAACAAGCCGATACTAAGCAAATATCCTTCGCTTCACTAGTATTATAAAATTATCAAATTTATTATAAACAACTGAATTAGGATAACAAGCTGTTAACAGTCCAGTGGTTCGGACGTCGACTGCACTGAGATAGAAGGGAGTTCGATTCCAACCTAATTCACTTCACTGGTGACCCACGACAACTAGTATTCTTTGAGTTTATTACTATACTATAACTCGATACTAGTAAATTAGAAACATGCCGCTTACTGGGGAAGAGGCAAACAAGGACTTCTTTATGGCCTACCGCGTCGGAGTGAAGGTACCGGTGTTCAACGCTGATGATCCGCTGCTGTGGTTCGCACAATTGGAAGGACAGTTTACCCTTTCCAATATCACTACTGACTCCACGAAGTTCTACTACGTGCTGGCACAGCTAGAACCCCAACATTCAGCAGAAGTACGAGACCTTATAGTATCTCCGCCTGCAACTGATAAATATGAGAAGCTGAAGACAGAGCTGATCAAGAGGCTATCGGCATCGCAAGAGCGCAAAATAAAACAACTGCTTATGCATGAGGAGCTCGGTGACAGAAAGCCCACACAATTTCTTCGCCACCTACAACAACTAGCTGGACCAACTGTTCCTAACGATTTTATCAGGTCAATTTGGTCTAGCAGGCTTCCGGCGAATCTTCAGACCATAGTAGCCATGCAAGCCAATTCAAGCTTGGAAGATGTAGCAGAGCTAGTCGACCGTATAAACGACATCGTACCAGTTACTGGTCAAGTCGCCACTAGCATGCCAGTAACCGGGCAAGTAGCAACTGCACAGTCGTCTATGAGCAGCAGAGGAGGAGCACAGGGTAACACTATTGACGCTCTAACGCAAGCTGTGACCGAACTGACTCGCAAGATGGAACGCATGAGTACCGAACTACAAAGAGTACAGCGTTCTCATAGCAGAGGACCCAGAGGAGGTAGAAGTCGTTCCCGGTCACGTTCTAGACCCAGAGATCATCCTTACTGCTTCTATCACTACCGGTTTGGAGATCGAGCTCGCAAGTGCACACAACCTTGTACCTACAAAACAACAAAGTCGGTAAACTACCAAGGCAGCCATTAACGGCGGGACAAGACTGCCTAGCAATATCAAGCCGCCTGTTCATTACGGATCTCAAGACAAAAATACAATATCTTATAGATACGGGTTCGGACCTGTGCGTATTTCCGAGATCCGCTGTTCGGGAGCGTCGTACTACAACAGAGTACAAACTATTTGCAGCCAATGGAACAATAATAAACACATACGGTTTCATCTCTCTCACTCTGGACCTAGGACTGCGTCGCGCATTTTCTTGGCGATTCATCGTAGCTGACGTCACAAAGCCAATTATCGGTGTCGACTTTTTAGCTTACTACAATCTATTAGTCGACTGCCGAAACCAGCGTTTAATAGACAATCTCACTACGCTAATGGTCCGTTTACCTCAACACCAATCCACTGAAGCCATATCGTCTGTACGCACTTTTATAGACGGTAGCGACTACCACCACCTTCTGAAGGAATTTCCAGACCTTACACGTCCAGCTGGTAAGCCAAGTACTCCTAAACATAATACAAAGCACCACATTCGCACTACGCCTGGCCCGCCAGTCTTCGGGCGTCCACGTCGTTTAGACCCTGCCCGGCTAAAGATAGCGAAGAAGGAGTTTGAAGAGATGCTGTTGAATGGTACTGCACGTAAATCGGAAAGTGCCTGGTCTTCACCACTTCACCTGGCGCGCAAGAAGAACGACGGTTGGCGTCCATGCGGAGACTATCGCTCACTCAACGCACGTACGATTCCCGACCGATACCCTATTCGGAATTTGCAGGACTTTACCCATCAGCTGGCAGGTACTTCAGTATACTCTACCATAGACCTGGTAAAGGCATACAATCAAATACCGGTCGCAGAAGAGGATATATCCAAGACCGCCATAACCACACCTTTTGGCTTATACGAATTCCCATTCATGACGTTTGGTCTTCGAAATGCCGCTCAAACGTTCCAGCGATTCATGGATGAAGTTCTTCGTGGGCTGGACTTCTGCTACGGGTATCTCGATGATATCTTGGTCTTCAGCAGCAGCCCCACCCTTCATCAGCAGCATCTACGAAAGCTTTTCGAGAAACTATCAAAATTTGGAGTCCTACTCAACACGAACAAGTGTGTTTTTGGTCAGAAAGAGGTAAATTTCTTGGGATTTAAAGTTTCAGCTAGCGGTATTCAGCCCCTGGATACGAAGGTTCAAGCCTTACATGACTTTCCAGCTCCCAAAACCGTCAAAGAACTAAGACGATTCCTTGGAATGCTAAATTTTTACAGGCGTTTTATACCAGCTGCAGCTTCGATACAGGCGCCACTTCATAGCCTCTTGACAGGTCCGAAGATTAAAGGATCGCACCCAGTTGTCATGACTGAGGAACTACTGGTAGCTTTCGAAAGATGTAAGCATAGTTTATCCGAGGCCACACTCCTAGCACATCCTGACTCGCGAGCAGAGTTAGCTGTGCAGACGGACGCCTCGGACACAGCAATTGGAGCAGTTTTGCAACAACGCAATGGTGAAGAATGGCAGCCACTCGCATTTTTTTCGAGGAAACTGAGCCCTTCACAAAGAAAGTATAGCCCTTACGACCGCGAGCTTCTGGCTATTTATGAGGCTATACGATATTTCCGGTTTATGGTTGAAGCTCGAGTTTTTTTCATTAGTACGGACCATAAACCACTAACGTTTGCATTTGCCACTCATCGTGAAAACTGTTCCCCCCGGCAATTTCGATACTTAGACTTCATTAGCCAATTTACGACTGATATAAGATTTGTGGCCGGTAGGGATAACATTGTAGCTGATACTTTATCACGTGTCAGCGCGGTAAATCAAACGTTAGACTATACATCCTTGGCTAGGGAGCAGAAAACTGATGCTGAACTTCAAGATCTGCTGCAAAACGGGTCTAGTCTCAAGCTGGAAAAAGTAGTACTGCCAGAATCAAAAGAAGAAATATATTGCGACATCACAGCGGGACAGCGACCATTCATAACTAAATCCTTTCGAAGGCAAGTCTTCGATGCCCTCCATAACCTGAGTCACCCGGGATCAAAAGCAACAGTCCGTTTGGTAACCCAAAGGTTTGTCTGGCCTGGAGTAAGGCGAGACTGTCGTCGTTGGGCCAAGGAATGCCAACCATGTCAGAGAAGCAAGGTGTCCAGACACACGAAGGCACCTCTAACGTCATTCCCAGCACCATCTGCACGCTTCAGACACATACATCTAGACTTAGTAGGTCCGTTACCATTGTCTTCAGGCTTCAGGTACTGCCTTACCGTCATCGACCGAGTGACCCGATGGCCTGAAGCGTACCCTCTCGAGGACATTACGGCAGCAACCTGTGCAGTCGCCCTAACATCCGGGTGGTTTGCGCGGTTTGGCTGTCCTGAACACATAACCACCGATCGAGGCCGGCAGTTCACGTCTCAAACTTTTAAGGACCTCACTACGCTTGTCGGTGCTAAACATCATTTAACCACAGCTTACCACCCCGCAGCTAATGGTCTAGTAGAAAGGCTACACCGGCAGCTCAAAGCCGCTATTATATGCTACGCCACCTCTAGCTGGACCGAGGTTTTACCATGGGTGCTGCTTGGCATCCGCAGCGCGTGGAAGGAGGATATTCAGGCTTCAACAGCAGAACTGGTCTATGGCGAGACACTACGCTTACCTGGACAGTTCTTCAGCAGCACCACAGACGAAACTATAGACCTGAGCAGCCTGGTCAGCAGACTTCGTTCACACATGAACAAGCTAACGCCACAACCCACATCTTGGCACAGCAGTTCCAGTCGTCCATTCTACGTACCTAAAAACCTGGAGGCAGCTACTCACGTCTTTCTGCGCCAAGGTCCAGAACGAAGGCCGCTGCAAGCTCCTTACCTAGGGCCGTACAAGGTTCTGCAACGTAACTCTAAATATTATGACATTGAATTGAAGGGGAAGACGCAAAGAGTTACGATAGATCGTCTCAAACCTGCATTTGTCACAAATGAGACACCGATAGTCACCACAGGCAGCGAAAAAGCAAAGGACCAACCCGTCTTGAAGAAGACCAGAAGCGGGCGCACTGTCAGATTTCCAGACTACTATCGCCCGTAGTCACGGTCTCACCGGGGGAGTGGTGTGGCGAGTAGGCGAGTAGGCGAGTAACCCCTATGCGTTAGGACGTAGCACCAGATCATACGATCTACGTCACATATGGCGTGATGTTCTCGACATGTAGGGGATAAGTACAGTAAGC